ACAGGGGCAGTGACCATTATGCCCGTGATGACCCCATCACTTAGCCATTTCTGCCACTTCTCAATGCCCACTCTGGAAACAGTCACCAGTTTCTCCAGAGTGAGCCCCTCATCATCATCTCTTATACTCAAGATTTTCTGCGCCGTCGCGGGGTCTAAACCCTCCAACGTGCACAGCTCATTTACTGTAGCTGTCCGTATATTTATGACAGCCATGACAAAATATAAAGTTCCAAGAAAGAAATAAGTCAACACACTTAATTAAACAATTACACAATTATATACAAGGACTTATATTAACAGTGCTATATTAGACACGTGCCACCGTCCCGTACAAAATTCCAACGATTACAACTACGATTTACAGTTTACAAAATAATTTCTAATTCCTAAAATAACTAATTTCTAACCTAATGTATTAATAACCTAACTAAACATATAATAATTTCCCTACAATATAAAAATTATATCCTATACTAACGATAACTCAAGTCTCGCCTGTCATATGTTTTCCGCCAATATGGGCGGCCCACTATACAGGCGAATGAAGTTCCGTGAAAACCTAACAAGTAAACTAAATTAAATTAAATTTAAATTTCAGAACGGCAGTGAAAACACCGCCGACTCTGAATTACCCCTAATAAATAATTAAATAAACAATAATAAACTGCTAGAACTGTCCCAAAATCTCTCACTCGTAATTCGCGCACTGGTCAACAAAATGGCCAGCGCACGTGCGAGCGAGAGGGGACCAGCAAGGTAGAAAAAAAATATGGAAAAAAATGTCAAAATAGCGCGAATAGCGTGAGTTCTTTCTCACTTATGACACCAATTGTCGTGCATTCGGTGTGTGAATAACACACACCGTCACAACAAGTAGTTGCAAACGCTCTCAGCTCCTGAAATCAAAGACAAGGTGGAGGAAATTCACTCACGTGTTGCTGGTTCGATGTCTAGAAGTATAAGAGACCGCGCCAACGCGTCACAGCGATGATATCACGTAGCTCACGAGATCTCGTGTCGGCGCGGTCCACGGTCCAAGGGAGATAACTCTCCCGAAATTCACCACAATACCGTGTAGACACTCCAGATCTACAGGTCACTAGATGTTTACTGTTAGTGTCGTAGCTGGTAGGCTGGAATCTACATACGCTAGGAGACTACACCTCTACACTCTATTTTCGTTCCTACACTATTTTACATGACAAATAGATAGGAGTATTACAATCTACGCAGTAAGGCATCGTAGTTGATTATTTTATTTTATACGGGTCATCGCGATTGACGTGGCAGTACTAGTATCATAGATACATTAATTGTAACCCGGTCGAAAGAGAAAGTAGAATTCTCAAATTAAACTTTGGACGAGAGATGTGCCAACTGCTACACGAAAGCTTTCTTGTACCAGATAGTGGTAATAAAGCTTTTCAATTTAAATAATTAAATAATATCTGGTATACAGTGCGTGTCTAAGGAGTGGCGTCAGACTGCTGCTCTGTCAATCACTAGGACGGGCACCGGGCTTGTGAGGACCGTTACTCGTCCAGACCCGGTCCCAGTGAGGACTACTTCTTTAACTTGAAATTTGTAAGATGGTGTAAGTTTTACTTATCGATTATTTGTTGCATCGTCTTCGTCGATCGTATTCGGATAATTTAGTTTATTTACAAGTGTGATATTTGTCCAGAGATATGTTTTCGTTTTACAGCCGAATAATATTGTGTCAGCGAATTACTGCTAACATCTGACCATCATGACGACGGTAGCAAGTCAAAATAACATACTATTGGGACAAGAAAAAACTACCAAATTATCTGCTCAGGACCTTGAAAAGGAAGTAAGTACTTCATTCTACGTTAGCTATTTTCACTTTGTATTCAATGTAACTCAGTATTTGTTATAACCCTGTAAACATCCATACTGTTTGAAATTATTGCACATCATGAAAGTGCATTTCTTATTTTAGAAACAACTTTGACTTATACAACTTTTAAATGTTTAATTGTACTCTAATATAACCCAGTTGCAGACTATTCGCAGTGTGTTGGAGAAAGTGGAGGACACCAATGGGAAAGTCCTCAAACAAATTCAGATCAGGGCCAAGTAAGTATTCGTCTATATAAAAGCATTGTAATTATCTAATTATAAATTGAAATACAGATTAAATTTTTTAATGCCTTACATGTGTATTTGGTCCATGTAACATTTATCAACAATCAAAACATTGTATTGTGATAATTTAAAATTCATTTTGGTTTTAATTTTTTGTTAAGGATGTGTGAGTCGACGACATTATAGATGAATCTGTCCTAGACAATGATGTGCATATACTTTTGCAATCTATTCTATCTTTATTAAAGGGAACAGTCTGTGTTTGAAGAAACCTCACCGAAAATTGCAGGTTTGACATGATTTTGATATTTTTAGAAATTTTTATGTAAATAAAAATAATTTCACGAAGTCAGGACTACATGTATATAAAACATTTGTTTCGATCAACAATTAAAGTCATACAGTATGAACTTATGAATCGTTTATTTGAAAACCTGTTTTAAATGACGTACTAATTACCAGTGTATATCTCCTGATATTACAACAGACATGAGGGCAAAAGCCAGGCGATTGGAAGAGGTGATGGACGGAGGAGACACACGTTTCAACGAACTGAAAAAAATTGTTAACGTAGTATGTTGTAAAGTTAATGATGTTATCAACGTAATTCATAAGGCCGAGAAAGTAGAAGAGCATAGAAATGAAGGTCAGGGACTGATAAAAGCGGGATCGAAAGACATTGAAAGAAGTGGAAAAATAAGAGACGAAAACATCCGCAGTGGTCCTGATATTAAAGTGAAACGTTTAACTACTGCGCAACCTGTACATGTTCAACAGCCAATGAACACTGAAAGAAAAGTCAAAAGCGGGGCTCAAAAGGAACAGACGCCAGATCCTGTGGATGACTTACCATCAATTGTGTGCACTTCCGGGTTTAAGAGGCGCCTGACAAAAGAGAGCTCCGACAATAGACTTAAGACTGACAAGCTCACGCAACAGAAACAGATGGAAAGCCAGCGACCGAATATAGCAGGGGCCAAATCTGATTTAGACCCACCCTATGTGAACATCAAGAATACTTCTGTCCGTATCAAGGAGCAGGATGCTTGGTAATACATGTTTTAATTCTTTCCAGTTTACACGTGTAATTACATTTTTAGGGCAGTGCTTTTACTAAACCAATATTTTAAAGTTAGATACAAATGTATATATATCTTAGTGACATACCCCATGTATATATAATGCGTTACAAGACATACATCAATTTGAATGTCCTTACATATAATAACTATATAGATATCAGGAACCGTTCATATTGGTAATGTTTGTCAACTCTGCCTGTATTTATATATTATAGATTCGAGACAGATTTCAAGAACATGCCCGGTAAGTAATAAAGAATAATATGTAACTATGATAATTTTGTTGAAAATGAATATATATCGTGTTTGATTTCTAATTTAAGATAGCATGATATAACAACACTGTTTTGATACATTCAAGTTTGCGTTCAACTGATTATTATAAAACATAATGATGTATGGACATATAGTGATAAAAAAAATCAGATGCAAAGTATGCTTACAGAAATTATAACCAGTTCATTTGATATGTCAACTACATGTATCCTACCATGAGTTTGCGTTCTTTATTTGACCAGGTTTAAGTCCGGACATCCTGGACGGACAGGGTAGCGACACTATGCTGGCAGCCTTGGTATGTCAACAGTGGCATTCATACGCAGAAAAGGAAAAAGACAAAGGTAATATATATTTCAAATTCATCACAAATTTTCTATTTTTGAATCCAAAGTATAGTTTTGCTTGATACACTGAATTCATCTGTTTACTTGACAAATATAAGAAATGATAAAAAGTAAACGGATACACCTTTGCAATAGAAACATTCACTCTGATTTTGGTACCGTTTATAAATACCATAAATAATAAATTAGGTGATCACTGAGGGATATCGTGTGTTTTCTTGAAGATTCCCAACGCCATATTGTTCGTGCTAAAGGCCCGGATGTTGTCCTGTGTTTAGACACTTCTCAGAGCATGGAAGGGGCGCCGTTTGAGGAAATGATGTCATTTGCAATGAAATACGTAGAAGGTTTGCTTTCCTGTTCAAGATTCATGTTTTTTAAATATACCTTTTTTTCATATTTGTATTGAAGACTCCTTGCGTCATAATTGGAGTTTTTAATCTGTAAATATCTTACATCAGTAATTATGAAATTCTCCCCTTCATATTCATCCAGAAAACTTTGTTATGTGTGCAGTTTCGAATTCAGGGGCAGGTAAATTGGACACCGTAAAGTGGTTTATAGTAGTTTATAGATAAAATATCTCTTGGTAAAATTCATTTTTCTATGGGGATAAGGACGTTATATGTTTTTATTTCCGTGCAGTATCCATTATCTGTTAAAACCAATATTTGATCCGTCGCGTGTGCTTATACGGATGTCATCTAATGGCGTCTATGCTGTCTGAGTTATGATGATGACATTTAACCCGTTAGTTGTGTATAGATATAAATAGACGGCCTTGAACTTCATGTACTGTTTTATTTTTGTCGACAGATGCTTTTTCTACATTAAGTATTTTTCTATTCGCTACAGGGGCAAGTACAATTGATATGAACGAGAATATATCCGTCACTACTTTCGGATATATTACCAAAGTCTGGCATCACTTGACGTCGGATTACGATGCTGTTAAAGCAACACTACGTAAGGAATTTAAAAGTGCGCTATTCGCTCTGATAATGCACAATATTGTAGTACACTGTTTTGCCGTGTAAAAAATCAAGTCGGCACATATTTATTACATATCAAAACGATTAATTGTTTTTATCGGACTTGAACAATTGGAAATGGTTTTAGCACAATTTCATTGAAATGGTAATTTGACCAATAAATGTTCTTAGCTTCTATCTAATCAGTGAAATTTCCCAGTTTATATAGTATAGACTAATGTGGCTGTTGTGTTCTGTTGTCAGGAGAAATCTGGTCCCTCATTCCAAGGGGTCGAAGTCCAATAGCTGGTGGCTTGCTTATGGCCCTTGCTGGTTGTCTGGGCAATGGTAAATATTCAAAATCTACATGTATCAGTAACGATCGTGGTTGTTATAAAATTAACACATTGCCCTTTCTGATTAAATGATGTATTTCAGGCAAAGTCAATCTTAATCTAAATATTTTCTGTTTCTCCTAGCTGGTGCAATTATCGTGGGGAATATCCCAGTTCATGCACGAATCATACTGGTGTCTGATGGGAAGGGTACGCCTGACCATATTAAGACAGGACCAGAGCTCGTGAGGACACAGGATGAAGACATGCGCTCTAGCTTACGGGTAACTATCTATACCTTTGATACATTTTCCTTGGCTTGTATTTTTTTTTATTTCCTTTGAATTTAGATTAATGATTCTGACGATTTTGTTTACATTATTAATATTGCTGAAGTAACCAGTCTAATTTGAGATATCATGATCATGTGACGGTACGGGACCGGATCGAACAAAACCGCTGTTGTCATTTCTGTTCTAGATCACTAAAGCTTTGCACATGTAACGTGCAACCCCTAGTAGCGTGTGTGCATGGTGTGAATCTCACTTATAACCGAGCTACCTGCTCTAGAAGCGATTGGGATCCTCGGCTACCTGGCCGAGCAGTTCTTCTTCTTCTTCTTTGTCGTACGGGGGCTCCATCAATTTGATGTTTATGCCCTCGGGGGGTCCTGTTGCAAAGGCGTGCAAATGGGGATTACTTTTAGTGATTAGTGTTTGTTTTGGGATTTTTGTGCAAGGTATAGATAAAAAGATAAAATCTGTCGTGATGAGGGGTTCAAGGGCTGTGTAGGGTAAGTGTGCCTTGAAGTCTTCTAGTGTTGTGCATTGTACTGCTGCTTTGGGAAGGAGATTCCATTGTGTTATTGTGTGTGGAAAGAATGTATATGTGTTTGTATGCGTGAGGGTGTGCTTGTCTGGTGCGAGGGTCTACGGGTGTGAGTATATGAGTTGGGTTTAAAGCCACGATTTTGTGTATGATTTTGTAAAAAAGGATAATTCTTGTGTAGCTGCGCCGTGTTTGTAGTGTTGGCCATTGTAGTGTGTGGATCATATCTGTTACGGAACTAGTGTTGTGGTATCTGTTTTGTACGTAGCGTGCTGCTCTTCGTTGTGTTTTTTCTATTTGTTTAATTTGGTTTGTGTTGTGTGGAACCCAAATGGAAGAGCAATATTCAAGTTTTGGCCTGACTAGTGCTTTGTATGCATGTTCTTTTATACGTGGTGAGTTTATTTTTAAGTTGCGTTTTAGAAAACCTATTGGCATTGGCTGTGATGTTGTTAATATGTTTGTCCCATCGTAGGTTATGCTTGATTCTACTTGGTGTAATGTGTGGTTGTGGTTGAACAATAACACTTAAAAACATCAACTAATTTACAAATGATACAATTGTGGGCCAGGACAGTACCTCTGCCCCATCAACCCGTGCTGTCGAACCACGACACACGTCGCCTGGACGTACACAACCTCTCCAACCACACGACAACCAGCAAATCAGAATGCTGACAATCCCAGCTCCAGGTATGGCCTTGCTACCCGAGCTGATCGCTAACAGTCCCGATATACGCCTGTCACCTAGCCGATCCCGGGTAGCTCCGAGGTACCCTGTCACCGAGTTGGTCATCCCTGGCAGCTCCGAGGTAACCTGTCCCTAATCTGATCCCTGGCAGCTCCGAGGTACACTGTTCCTGAGATGATCACTGGCAGCCCCGAGAAACCCTGTCCCTGAGCTGATCCCGAGGTAACCTTCCACACTCCCCACCACAGCACACCATTACCAGAGTAGCCTTCTCACACTGGTGGACCCTTACCGTTCATTTTTTTCATTTTTTCGTTTATTTTTCAAAATCCGTTTATTTTTCTCTCTTTTTATGTTTATTTTTTTAATTACCGTTGATATTTCACGGTACACTGTTTATTCTTTAAACCACCGTTTATTCTTCGAAGTCTTGTGTTTAGTTTTGAATATTTACTTTTCACGGAACAGTGTTTGCTTTATAACTGCATGTTTAGATTTCACGGAACAGTGTTTGTTTTATAACTGCATGTTCACTTTTCACGGAACAGTGTTTGTTTTATAACTGCATGTTCACTTTTCACGGAAAAGTGTTTGTTTTATAACTGCATGTTTACTTTTCAAGGAACAGTGTTTACGTTTCAAGGAACAGTGTTCCGTTTTGGTGGAGCGTTGTCTTCTCGCGGCCGACCGTTTAGTTTTACGGAAAATCGTTTAGTTTACGAATTTCTTTTGTACTGTCGGGTTCTTTCGTGTCTGCCGACCGGCCACGCTCTCGTCCGCGACAGGCTTACCTTATCGGCAGTGTAGCGACGCGCACCAGTCAATCTTACCTGCGCTCGGTCAGAGCGCTCACCCGTGACGTACGTAGCCGTCGGCTACCGGTAGTCTGAACTGTAAAAAGCACTAAAAGAGTTCTTGATACATACCGTATACTCATGATAATACCACAAAAGTGACGTTTCTGTTACTGAACACACGATTAATCCTATTTGTCTCTACGCCACATCAAGTTGGCGTTTTTGTTTACCCTTGTTTTACGAAACGTTTGTTTTATTGTACAACATGATCAGCGAATAAATGTACCCCAAGTACGTGTTTTATTGTACATCATGATTTAAATACCAGTGAACCAAACCAACCAAGTACGTTTTTTTACAGTATGATTGAAATACAAGTGAATCAAACTACCCTTAGTACGTGTTTCATTGTACAGTATGATTAAAATACAAGTGAATCAAACTAACCTTAATACGTGTTTCATTGTACTCCCCTAACGAATTAAAGTACTCCTGGATTATTATTTTACCCCTAGACGTTTTATTTTACTCGTTGGACTTTTAAGATACTCCCGGATTTTTATTTTACTGGTGGCTTTTTATTTTACCCCCTTTATTTAACTGTGCTCCGCGGCAACATGATCTGCGGTGGCGGTCAGCTAGACCTTTGATCTAACCGAGTAGTAGCCTGTCGACCACTTCGAGCTGCCGCGGGCGGTGTCAAGCATCACCAGGTAGCTCCGGTCAGATTTTCAGATTTTATTTCCAACACTCAGACACATGAAAATGTGTAACATGAGGTACATGTACATGAATTCATATATTAAATTATGACAGGATGGACAGGTGCATGCATGTATATGAAGATACTGATATATATATATGCATGATAACATGTTGTACAAATGAACTATTTCGTAATTAGACACAGCAATGCATACATATATGTAGATAGCCACGCATATATCCAGACCTTTGCATATACATATATATGCACATCCATACACATACAATGCATACCAACAAACAGACGCCTACGTATATACGCGGATACACACTTATATTCACAAACATATGACTACATCCCAGATACATACACACACACACGCACATATGCATACATTTCGTATCCAAAATACTCACATAGTCACCTACTTTACATATTGATTTGTACATATCGGTGATATAGACCCATAATGTGCTTCAATATTATGGACCTATAGAAGCAACAAGCAATAGTATATGTATAATGTTTATGTTTTAGCTTAAAGTAAAGGAATCAATTTCTTTAGGGAAATTGATAATCCTTTCAGAATTTGTTCGTGACATATTGACAAAAGACTTTCATTTTATTTTCATTTGGATTTGTA